ATACAACTACCTAGAACTACCTGTCAGACGAGGAGAAGTCATAATCATTGTGGGTGCACCAATTATATCAAAGAATGAGATTTGTAATAAATCCTTATGTGAAACTACACAGTACAAATTTTAAAACATCTGCTAACCTATGCACTGAGGGAGATAAATGGGAAAGAATCTCTAGCCCACTCTAAATGTCTGATATTATCGCAAAAAAATTCCAAAAGAAATAAAATGCAATCCACTAGTGGCCTGGTTAGCAGCGCTTAAGGGGTAATTAAAGAACCCTGCCCATATCTTACAAGACATCCGGAGTAGGGTTGGCAGTGACTCCATAAACACATGTGTCGGAGAAGAATACATAGCTAACATATTTCGGGACCAGAAGATTGCTAACAAGAGCTGATTTATTTCGAAGAGAAGATAAGGGAGAAAGTGACGAAGATGAAAAACTGTGTGCGAAACACAAATATGGAACTAGAAGCATGGTCAAAATGGTAAAAAAGGCAAAACAAGCAACACCGCCAGAAACAAATGTGGTTTGATTGCAAAGCAAAATGTCGCTAACTCTAGAGCCAAATCACACGAGTTTGATTGGTCTGGAGCCAAAATTGTGCTCAAATTCTTAAGCTCAGCTGGACAGCAAAGATTTGAGTTGATCTTACCTTCTCAAACTTCGGAAGAAGGTGTGAAACTGTGTGAGGTGCTCTTTGGTAAAACCTATGCAAGGCCATCACCGCTTTCTTCTTCACTAGCTCCTTTGGATGTTGCAACAAGTCTACCACTTGAGGTAAGACCGCAGGTATGGTTTCCTCGTTGATAAGCTTGCAAACGGCCGTGAGCGCAGCACAACATACAAGGTAATTATCCGAACGCAGGTCCTTCTGGATTGTATTGACAATCAGTATGATAAGATCGTGATCCTCATTTAAAAAAAGTGTGACTGCGAGATAACCTGTCTTTTTCAACAAAAGATTATCATCGTGAGTCATTTTAACCGCGTGGATGTAACCAAAAGATGCATCGTGGCCCAGCATTTCCACGTAGACAAGGCGAATGATGTATTCCTTCATTTTCTTCCGCGGTACATCGGGCTCTGCTATTTTCTTCTTCAGCGTTTCAATCTCGGCGGTAACGATTCTTTCCTCCTCGGCTTTAGATTTCGCTTCCCCAATAGCCTTGACAATATCGGTGAACTCCTTTGAGGTTCCCCATCCTACCTGGGAGCCCATAGCGAGCTCCCGACCTATAGTCTTTAGCTGCTCCAGTGTGACGTATTTTAGTTGAAGGGGAGCTTTGGGTATAAATACGGCCCTCTAGATCCTAGATCCAGAATGATCCTCGTTCCACAGGGCAGATCGATGCCCTAAAATGGTTGTCACCCGATGACTTTGCAGGTACGCCAAAGCAGAATCGGTAGAGTAGATGCAACTACAGACGCATTGTAAAGCTTCGAAATGGCTTACCCGGATGACCTGGAACCGAAAAAACCCTGTCCCAAACGCAATCTAAGAGGTTCTTTCAGATGGATCTCCTCCATCTTTCCCTTCCGCATAATGAATGTACCATATCGCGCATTTTAGATGGCCACTCGTATGAAATTTCCTAACCCAGCTGCTCGACGAGACGGGGCCAGCCTCTGGCCAATCCCCTGCTCGAGCTACCTGTTCGAAACCACTGCTCTGCTTTCCCCACAATCTCTCACACCCTTACCTATCTACTACCCCTGTCACCTGCCCCAATCCTGCACCGTGAACCGCAGCAGCGGCAGCAGCTCCTCCTCAGCCAGCAGTCGGCCTCACTCACAATTGCATCCTTCCTTCCACTGCTAGCCTCATCCGCGCCGGGCGATCCAACAATTGAACCCAAAAAACCACTCGCGATCCAAACCTCTCACTCCTTCGCACACAGCTCTTATTTACTGTTCCATGCCTCAGATCCAGACATATGGCGCACTAAGTCTTGACATGTGCATAACGGAACCGAAGGCAAAATTGTTTCTTCTCCTTTCAGCATTCAATGTTCGTAGATTGTGGTGTTCGGATGTAGTGCTTGTGTCGAACATTAGACTCGATTAAAAGTTTCTAACGCTACAGATATAACAAGCACACCCACCTTCTCAGTTCACGCCGGGAGGATGAAGGATACGTATAACATCCTGTCATAACTCTACAACAGCTCTTAGATATAATTCAGTTTGAACAGCCTGATAACCAACTTGCAACGATGGTTCTCAATCAGAATTTTCGCCCTTTTGTCAAAAAGATGATGAAAACAATCTGAGGATTCCCTCCGTGATGCGCAGGAAATAATTTGACCATTCTTTAGATTGTTCAAAATCTTTCATAATCCTTCATAAGCTGTAAGACGTAAAAGTTGACGCTTAAGGATATGATAACTAGCTCTGATTACGAAGTCTCAGTCCTCCGGAATTCATGTTTTTCCATTGGATACAATTAACAGGTCAAGTCACAACCACGGAGGCAATGGAAGGCATGCTCAAGGAGCTCGCTCGAAATGGGAAAAATCGGAAAATTTCAGAAGGTCCCTCGTGTGTTGAAGAAATGATTTGTATTTTTATGAGGAAAATCATCCTCACCGTGGGTTTCCATGTAAAAACTATCAAGTGTTTGTCCTCATGTTTTACACATTAGATATAAACATGAGTCAAAACTTTGTGGCACAATATATCAATATATAGTGGATATCGATGTAGTCTTAGTGCAGATATTCGATCTCTGTACTAACAGTCATGAGTGACTTTGTAGCAGACTGGTTTTGTAGATTAAAATAAGAAGACAACGGTGCTAGAATAGTCATGTGAGTATCTAGATATAATTTTTTTTCAGAAGGACAACGAATGATTACAAGCCGTCAGTGGAAGCATATCGCAATCAGGCCTCCTAGTTAGATTCTCAAGATTACTACAATCATGATGGTTATTATATAACATTGCTAATTAGTGTGAATTTCAAAGATGGAGAGAAAAAGTTGATGTTCATAGCCGTTTTAGGGAATCGGAGGAAAAAATCTGACTATATTACTGACTTAATTGAAAATTTCGGCCAATTATTTTGGTTTGATATCATGGAGCTCCCAAATATCACAGCCTGAGTAGGACAAAGTAGATCGCAGAAATCAAAGCATGAACGTTGAGTTAATGCGTATTATTCAACTCAAGTTAGTTAAAAAATCATCTAGGTTTTTATGCAAATTTTATTTCAATAAATATTCTAATTCGCACCCAGTCTAATTTTGGTCTAATCAGACCGAAATTAGTACAATTCTTAACATCTTGTTACTAAGTGAGAGACACATAAATTCGTGCTTTCGCCTAAGCATTTAGCCTTAGAAACTAGTGTGATCCACACCGACTAGGATTAACAAAGAATTTCCATCGTTCTTTATATCCTTGTGGGCCCAATTTACCTTCTAGGATTAAGAGTATAAACTACATGTACGGATGCATCGGTACTCTGTGCCGTCGAAACAACCAACATTCCATTCAAATGAGAATGAGTTTTGTCAAATTTATTTATGGGAGTGCAGACTGTGGAAAGGGCTAAAGGCATAGAGTGATAATAAATTGCATATTGTTCCTCATCTCATGACATATGTCGTATTTTTATTTCTCAATGAACAGAAAATGGTTGGACATGTGTTATTAAGTCATAGGATTTGACCACAAAATAACAGAGCACAGTACAAAAATTGCCCAATTTTATATGGAGTCATGGGAAACTTCAAAACCCCGAATGGTCCACACATAACTACAGAATTTAATGAGCAATTGGATCTTGGTTGCTTGATCATTGTTATGCAGATATTCGTGCAGAACAAGACATAGATCCACTCCGCCTTCATGGCCACTTACGCACAAAAGTACGATAGGTGACGACAATTGACACCAAACCATGAGTATATACCAAAAGGTGATATCATTCTCATAAAAGACCCCTCGAAGCTGGGTTATGGATTTGTGCCGGGATCCAATGTGTCATTGTTCTGCACGTTAAAAAATCCAAGGATAAAAGTTTGTTGTGGGATTGGTAAATGGTAAATGGTAATGATTGAACAGTTTACAAGTCAACTCATTACTTCACTATCATGGATCTTCCAATTAGCATATGAGATTGTACACAGTGTGAATTGTTCAACGTGGATCCTATTGAATGTCGTGGTCCTTCACTACTTCGTATCTTGGAGCCTTCACCAAAATGAATATTCCAATTAGAATAGTAGACCTGTACACAGAGTAAGAGTCCTTTAACTTGGATCCTAGTGCATGAAGTGGTCCAGAATCTATTAGCAAGTTGAGGGACCATCCAGAGCTCCAGAGTGCCCCTTGTCAATGATTTTGCACAGAGGCACATACATAGTAGAGGTATAACCAGATGTCTGTTATCTGTCATGTCCCCTTCATCGCCTTTGGTGGGCCAGTATGAGGAGGCACTCCGTAAACAGTCTTACGTTCTACAAGTCATTCTTCTTAACATCTAGAACTGTATGCCGAAGGTGTTCAGTATTGTCAGTATTATCGTTTATTTTGTGTTTTACTTTGTGTTTGATGATACTAAATATTGAAACATACATATATTCTTTTGGAATGAGTGATGCGATCTAGAAAATGTTACAGAAACTTGTTCAATTGTGTGCACGGAATGTCTTGGGTTTGGTGTGACTGAACTTTTTATTTTTCTCGTTTCACCTGGTAGATTTGGAGGTTTGAAAACAACACTCACCATTGCCGATTAGAAGTGTCAAACGAGCTTCACCGTATATGTGAGTGCAGAATCGTACATGACCCTCCACTGCTTATCAACCTAATCTAGTCAACTATTACGTTCAGAAGGAAATGCTAAAATATCAAAATAGATCGAGGAACTGTACCTCTCAACAATATTCTTTCTGAACCATCGAGGCAGACTCCAGGACGGCATACCACCAAATCTCCGAGCAGCTAAATATTCCAATCAGCACACTATAAAGGCTCTCAGAACAAATCACTCTGCAACTGGCTGGAGCTCGAATCACAGACTCATACTGCCAAGTTCAGAGTATCCTCTAGGATGCTTATCAGGACATCCTTAGAATGACTCGTACTCCAATCTCCAAACAATGAATTTGGCAGATTACATGCCATCATAGAAAAGCGAAAAGTAAAGGCAGGAATCTTACCGAAGTGAGGTAGGGGTCTTCATCTGACATTGGGAACGCTGAAGGGACTCCAGTAGTAGAGTATGGAGAGAGCTACTTTATTGGTTCTTGTATGCTTGCTGCAGGTGACGGTATGGGCCAGGAGTATCGAAGCAAGTACGGAAATGATCAAGAGGATCGACACACATTGTCACTTAGTACCACCATTCTACGCCGAGCTGTTGCAGGAGCACAACATAGTTGCAGGAGGACGTGCCATACCTTCATGGAGCGCAACTGAACATCTGGAAGTGATGGATCTGTTGAATGTGTCTATGTCCATCGTCGCTGTTTCGACACCTGCCGCTGTTCTCATGCGGAACTATCAGGTGAAAGACAGCCGCCAGCTCGCTCGACGGCTCAACGAGTATGCTTACAACCTGTCCATGGAGTACCCGCAGAGGTTCAGCTTCTTCGCCACTTTGACTCTACCGGACGTCGAGGGATCCGTTGCCGAAGCTATATATGCTCTCGACACTCTGAACGCTGCGGGCGTCATGATTCTCGCCACTAGCTCCGATGAGCTCCTCGGTAGTCCACGTTTTGAACCTCTATATGCTGAGCTAGACAAACGAAACGCCACCGTCTTCGTGCATCCGAGCCAATCTCCATGTCCCGTGCAGGACACATGTAAGTACTTTATCATTCCAATTCTGCGCAACCTTCTGGAAATTGATTATTTCAGGTCGGTAGTCTAGATGTAGAGTCTAGATTGCAGACTCTATGCTGCTGTAGACTCTAGCAGACTCTATGCTGCTGTAGACTCAGGTCGGTAGTCTCTATGCTGTGCGAACTTCTTTCGAGGAACACTAGAAAATCAAAGCGCTTTAGTGGCGTCATTATTGGCTGTAGACCAGAGTGACTCGTCGTCCCATTACCGGGTTGGGTTTTCATGGAAAGTAATATTCATTCCCTCGTCACATTGACCAAAGAAAAAAATTCTCGATACAAATTGCGGTCTATCAGTTTCGTTTCTCGCCTTTCATCATGCTTAATAGTTCAAGGGCAGAGAATTAAACGCGTCCATGGATCTGTTGATAATTTGTGCGGCAATTTGCACCAGTCGACCCTATTTTGCCTCTACCGGACATCGAGAAACCCGCTGCTGAAGACATATATGCGCTCGACTCTGCGAACGCCGGAGGCGTCAGAATTCTCGCCAGTAGCCCTGAAGATCTGCTCCGAAGTCCACTTTTCGACAAACTAGAAGCCACTGAATCGAAGAATCCGAGCCTATCTCTGTGTGGCGGAAAAGACGCTTGTAAGTATTTTCATAAATGCAAATCTCCCCGAGCATCTGTCTTCTGCTCTGCGCAACTCCCTCCATGGAAGGAGTTGGAAGCAACGGAAGCATTTCGTTTAATATGTCATTTAATCATTTCGTTTAATTTTTACGTCATTAATTGTCAAAGACCAGGTTGATTTGTTGTCGTATAATCGGGATGACGGTCGCATACCCCGGCGGGTTGTCGTGGACTTTAGATTTCACTTTATCATTCTCTGGATGGAATGAAAAGTTCAGCCATTACTTTCGCTTTTCGAGAACTCTTTACAGCTCCGGACACGCCTCGGGAGCCATCGAACTAAATGCGTGTGACGATCTGTTGATTTGCATCAGTCGACAAAGGCAGCTCGGGACTGCCTCCGTATGCTGTGGACTTCCTGCTGGACACGACGCGAGCGGCGGTGAATCTGATCTTCAGAAATATGACGAGAAAATACCCTAATGTGAAATACATCTTCGCTCACTCGGGCGGGTTCCTTCCGTTCTCGACCTTTCGCATCGTGAGAATCTTGATGATGCTGACGAAGCAAACGGAGGAGGCCATCGTGGCTCAGTTGCAGGCGTTCTACGTGGACACGGCCCTCTCGGCGTCCAAGTACGCGCTTCCCAGCACCATTTCGCTTCTGGGCACCAGCCACTTGACGTTCGGCAGTGACTACCCGTTCGCGCCGCCTGATGCGTACGTTCCCAACACCGAGAACTTGGATCAATTCGTCCGCGACACTTTGACCCCCGACGACGGCCAACAAATCAATCTCAAAACCGCCTCTGAGTTGTTCAGTCACATCCTTTCGGACGACATTCTGGCCACCATGGGCTTTGGATAGGATTCCAGGACTAGACAAGTGCACATATGTTCAGGCTTCAGAGCTCAAATTTGTGGTTTCCATAACGCCAGGCCCTGCTCCCCTCAAATCTCAGCATACTGTATGCGGTGGTCCGAAGAGTTTTTTGCATGTCTCCAATGGCGGGTTGGGCTATTTGCCGTTGGTTGGTCGCTTTGGCAGAAAGTCGGCTGATTTCTCCGCCTTTTAGAAGCAAATTATCAGCATTGTAGCCAGCTCCCCATTCGCTACTCCACCTACGACGGGTCCTTGTATTCTAGAGTGTTGTATATCCTTTATGCACGCTGATTTAGTACCTTCCACCGAAAAATATAAAAATGCTTCAAGTTCTTCCTATGAAAGATTGTACCTCACGTTAATGGAAATGTTTTCACCTTCGACATCTTATTGAAGTCATGAGCTTGATGTCAAAATTGGATATACAGTGGGTGTAAAACAACGATGCTTGTCGGTCGATTGTTGGTAGGTGTCGCCAATGTTTTGCTCTTTTTCTGAGAAATCGAACAAAACATAATAACTCCAAACATCTTCATGACATGAACAACGTAGTTACTCATGTAATTCGTGTTGAAAGTCAAAGGCTCATAATCTCTCAAAAACATTACTGTTTGCTGATCACTGCGAGCAAGACGGTCATACATTACAAAGTACTCTCCCTCTCTATAGGTCAAAGAAGCAACATAACTTAACATTGTAAGTTTTGCAACTTTTGGCCACGCTAAAGCATTCAACATTTGAATTTTCTCTACATTAGGTATGGACGATACTCTTAATCACCAGTCTGGATATATTCCATTTGAATTTACCCCAAAAATTAGCGTCAAGTTTAAACAATAGCTTTGGTTCTTCAAACACACACAGACTATCAATAGAATGTAGGGAAGTAATTTTTGGTGCTTGTTTTGTGACATTTGTTATACACAATTCAAGGGTTTTGATTCTTTATCTACAAAATTCGGCCATCTAAAAAATAAATCTAAAATCTTTTAATTTATATCTGATAAAGGTATTTTTCCTGTAGTTTTGTTTTTATCAAAATGAGTTTTTAGAGAAAATTGTGTATCATCATAACAAATTGCTGAAAATATAAGAAATTGCTTGTACTAAAAATCCAAGGATGTAAGGTATTTGAAATTTTTTTGGATTCAATATTACCTATATATTTATGTACGTATTGGATAGAAATCAAAAATTTTTATTGATACAATTCAAAAAATGTGAATAGAAATACATAGTAGTCACATGCATAGCATACGTTGTAACTTTTAGGGAACATTAAAATTATGAAAAGAAATTGATTTTTTGGTTCTAATTACATTTATGGAAAATTGTATATAATGACTGGAGCTCATTTTCAAAAACATGATAAATTAAAAAATTATTTTGTATTTTTTTCCATCTATGGAATGAAACAAATACTTCAACAAAATATTTTGAAATCTGCAGTCTAGTTTTCAGTACACGTAGTTCTTAGAATCAGTGAGTTTGAATTTATCTCCGAATTTTGTGAGAAACTCAGGTTTGGAAATGAAATTAGAAGTCCTTATTTTATATTGAGCATACGTTGCCCTGAAGAGAAAACGAATGAAATAGACTAGAGTACAGTATAATAGTGCACGCAAGATTGAAGATCTAAATATGTGTTTAACTTTTAAGGAATGTAAGGGAAGCATAGGGGTTTTTCTGTTTTACTGAAGAGGAAAACCTGAAAAAGATACGAGTAGCTTTTGTCAGAAATTCTGAAGTTATACTTTGATACTATTGGGGGTGGACCTTTGTTTTCTTGTTTAATTTCTTCTCCTTGTTGAGGCTGAAGGGGTCATGCATCTATTTTTTTTATCTAATTGGCCGACTCTCTTTCGTGGAAACTATTCCAGATCCTCCATACAGATCATGCTGCCGCGCTCAGCAGTGCCCAGCGAATGCGGATGGAGGGAATATATTCTGGAGTTTCAATTTGCCTTCTGCAGGAGCTGCTTGATTCATCCCAGATTGTTGTACCACAAGAAGACTAGGACACCAACACGCACTAGAACGCACCAGAAGACCGCATCCACGAGGATGCGGTCCTTCTAGATCTTCTGTAGAAGATCACGGAAGGTTTGTCACCGTGCCATCTGTGTAAGGTGACCCTGAAAGGGGTAAGATGGCGCTAGGCCCAACATTACCCATATTGTTTCTTCCATATACGATGGGCTCTTCCGATCCATTTTGCTCTGTGCACCTATGAAGGAGGCATCTTGGTGTATATGTCCTCCAGTGCAGTGTCACAACTGTATTCTCGTATACGTACAGAGATCCACCGACCAACCGATGCAGCCAAGAGATCCACCGACCAGCCGATGGGTTGGTTGAAATAGACCCGAGGAAACCCGAGGACGAATTGGTTCCTGATTCTGGTCTTCCCCTTGTAATGTTCTTTGAGCAATATTTTTGCTCCCAACATTCACACACTGTGATGTCATTGGAATGGAATAAAGTGTATGGTGAAGGGTTAACTGACCACTTTTTTATTTTGGTGCAACCGTAAGCTCTTGACGCTTGCGTCACTGCGAATGTTTATGTTTAGAATGTGCTTTCGAGTCTTTGGTTGAAAGAATTTAGTTAAACGTTTGAAAGCCGTGTCGGACAATTCACATGTGGGGTTAGCGGCCGATATGCTAGCTCTAAATATTGAGATCTCATCATTGAGATAAATATGGACAGATCTCAAATCGATGCTTGAAGCATTCAAAGTAAACTTAGTAAGAGTGATCGAAGAATTTATACAATTCTTGAAACTTCTATAGCTCATATCAGTTTAGGAGTAAATATAGATTCCACAACTGTTCATGACAGCAAGTTTATGACATTATAGATCAAAATGTGGAGGCACTCGGGTGGACACCTCACCGTTCTGAAGACTTCCATCAGCTCGCCAGTAGGACTCCTCCATAAATTTGTAGATATATGTAAAAAACAGGCATTTGTGGTTCGCCTCGAAGCAATCACGAGGTGTTGCCCAGTTCTCTTCATGACGTACGCTGCCCCACGACGTTATTAGAAATATGTGATTTCAACACGACCTGACGTGATACACTCACTCCTTTTTTCCTCACTCCACTCTGCGGCAGCGTAAAAACTATTGCACTCCTTGGTCATAAGATTGTCTGGATCTCTTTGGCTATTTGGCGTGATAATTGTGCACGCCAAGTAGTACAGTAGACAGTACCGAAACTCTCTGGATCAGTCACATGATCCTCTGAACTGTTGAGGCAGGCTCGGAGCTGCCTTGAAACCACATCTCCGAGTAGCTGAGTATTCCAGTCAGCACACTTTCGAGGCTCCCAAAGTCTTGTAGTCCAGAACTCTGCGATTGTCAGTCGTTCCCATTTGCAGCACATATATTCGACTCTTAATGGGATCAGAATTTCCCCCAGGACTCTGAGCGGGGCCTCTGATCTCGGTACTCAGTAGAAGGTAGTTGGCAGATCATACGTCCCTACAGAAAAGTAAAAGGAGAAGTGTAGTCAGGTTATGGTACCGAAATAGCATTCTTCAGCTGGCATTGGGAGAACTGAAGCAGTCACAGTAATCGACCATGGAGAAAACTACTTTGTTGGTAATTGTGTGCTTGCTGCAACTGACGGCATCAGCCATCAGTAACGAGGATGCTCCTACATGTACGAAGAGGATCGACACGCATTGTCATTTCGTGCCACCATTCTACGCTGAGCTGCTGCATGAGAACAACATCACTGCAGGAGGACGGGCAATTCCGTCATGGAGCGCTATCCAACATCTGGAAGTGATGGATCTGTTGAATGTGTCTTTGTCCATCGTTGCGATTTCGACGCCTGCGGCTGTTCTCACGCGGGACTATCCGGTGAATGAAAGCCGCCAGCTCGCTCGACGGCTCAACGAGTATGCTTACAACCTGTCCATGGAGTACCCGCAGAGGTTCAGCTTCTTCGCCACTTTGACTCTACCGGACGTCGAGGGATCCGTTGCCGAAGCTATATATGCACTCGACACTCTGAACGCTGCAGGCGTCATGATTCTCGCCACTAGCTCCGATGAACTGCTCGGTAGTCCACGTTTTGATCCTCTATATGCTGAGCTAGACAAACGAAACGCCACCGTCTTCGTGCATCCGAGCCAATCTCCATGTCCTGGACAGCAGTCATGTAAGTTTTCCATCACTCCGCAACCTAGCATCTGGAAAGCAACTCCCGTAATTCCTATGTCTAGTTTAAGATGACCAAATGTTGTTTTCTGTCACTCTATCGAGGAACGCCTGGAAGTCAAAGCCTCTTACTGATGTCTTTGATTGCTGAGGACCAGATTCAGCTCTGCTGACTGAGGAGAATACTGAAGAGAACCGCGATTGAAATCTGCCATTTCTTTCGGCTCTCCATTAAAATTTTTGCTAAAATACTTCATAACTCCTTCCTAGGGGAGGTAACTAACCAAAGGCGTCTATCGAACTGTTGATTGTTCGGATGGCCATTTGCACCAGTCAACGAAGGCAGTACGGGACTCCCTCCATTCGCTGTGGATTTCCTCCTGGACACGACGCGAGCGGCAGCGAATCTGATATTCAGAAACGTGACGCTAAAATACCCGAACGTGAAGCACATTTTCGCTCATTCGGGAGGGTTCCTTCCATTCGCTACCTTTCGTATCGTGAAAATCTTGAAGGGGTTGACGAACCAAACAGAGGAGGCCATCATGTCTCAGTTGGAGACATTCTACGTGGACACGGCGCTGTCGGCCTCCAAGTACGCGCTTCCCAGCACCATTGCGCTTCTGGGCACAAACCACTTGACGTTTGGCAGTGACTACCCTTTCGCGCCAGCTGATGCTTACATTCCTAATACAGAGCATTTGGATAAATTCCTCCGAGAAGATGTGACCACAACAGCCAAAAAACAGATCAATTTCAAAACAGCCGCTGATTTGTTCAGCCACGTGCTCTCAGAGGACATGGGCTACTGATGGGATACAGACAGAAGTAGAAAGGGATAATATCATGAAGATAAGTTATCACTCTAGAACTCAGATTCGTGGTTTGATTCACAGCAGATAAAAAGATTTTCAGGCTGCTTTTTATCTGAAAATATAGTGTCTTGGTGAAGGGTTGTGATCCTTTTGATGAGTACTTGTGGCGAAAGTTTACAATTGGTGAACATAGTTTCCAAGGACTGAATATATGTCCACGATGCAAGGTGTGTCTTATGTACACGTTTGTGTCCTTCTTCTTTCTTCACTATATTGATGTACATCTGAATCATCAAGGGCAGGTCAGGTTCAAATTGCGGTTAGTAGTTAATGGGATGTAATCACAGGTTATAACGATTGATCATGAGACATCCGCAGTGGGAAGTGAACCACTCTCTTCCCTGAAGAAGTTTTGGTCTTGCGCAATCTTAGAAACTGGACCCGGTTCAAGAGTAGAGGTACTCCTCAAATCCTTCCTCTGTCGTCTCACATGAATGAAAATCTGGAGGAAATTTTAGATGGTTACTGTTTATGATCTTCAAAATCAGGCTTCATAGAAATTATAAAGACAGCTCCATTCTGTTAGTTGGAATTATTCTTATCTTCAGGATACGCTTTTTATTCTATTCTTTGCTAATGCCAATTCTTGGCATATGTGAAGCAAAGGAAATATTGAGGAGTTGGAGAACAAAATATTTCCAAATGGTTGGAATAGCAACACAATTGAACGTGGTGTTTGACGCGTATGACATCTTTCAATTTGTCGCATCAACAAGAATATGGTCTTTAGATTTTAGAACGAGATGCTATCACGAGTCGAGTTATTGCACTTGCATGCAGATTATGTACAAAATTTGATCGAGAAAGCAAAATTGATGCAAAATATCAAAAAACTACTACAAAGAAGACGTTTGGTCCAACATTTTGTCCCTAGAAATACCGCATTCATCTCAAAAGTGAACACCCGATTTGTTGTGAAGAGTTTCAAACATTCTAAGAAAGTAAGATGATTTACTTTAACATTGATGTACCCTTTGTGAAGACAATCCTATCATATATTAATATAGATATTTACCATGTAACCTACAACATTGAAAAGGGCATAGTTGAGGTTATTATAGGAAAAGTGTTATGCGATCTTGAAGATTTTGAGGTCCAAACGTATGAGAACGCAATGCGCGTAATCATGCTAGATACTCATAAGTAAAACTATTACGTGATCATCAAAACCCCAATGGCATACCAACTTGCAATTAAATGCATTGGCATTGGTATTAGTCTTAGACAGACTACGTTAGCGAACCAAGAAACCAAGAAAATTGTCATGATCTTCGAGCTAGATATAATAAATGTTTTGAAAATTGCTACATTTGTACGCGTCCAATGCAGAGCCATTTTTAATATCTTACGCATGAGATGAGCGTTCTCAATTGCTGTGTATGCCTCAACTTGCATGAATATTTCATATGTAGATATTTGTGCTCGTTTTTTCACGAAGCCATTTTTATGATTTATATCATATATCAATTTTGTTGTTCGTATCTCATATTTGTTTGTCACAGTTTGAAATTTTTTCAAATTACTTGATGTATTATCTCCCAACCGAAGAAGTCAATTAATTAGTGCAACGTCAGATGCAGCTAGAAACATGACCGGTCATGTTTCAGGTGTTATCATGCGTCTTCAACAATGTTCACTTGAAGAGTTCATTTCTGTATGATGTATTCTCCATCAATTGGATATTTTGCTACAGAAGGTATATATGAAGCTGGATGGGGATGCATGGTATGCAAGACTAGTATTTATGATCTTGCACTTGCGTCGACAACAGAAGCTAATTTCCAAGATGAAATCAACTTGTCAAAGACATTTACTACTAGATGACACGTCATGTTTAGTGATACAAGCTAATTTAATGATCACTACAGTAAAACCTCTATAGTCTTATCAAGTTGGGACCGGCCCTTTTTGATAAGTTTGTAGAGGTGATAAGTTTATAGAGTTTATTAAAATTGATTCATTTAATTTTGTCTGATTGGTCTCAGAACCATCCGGAAGGTTACAGAAAGGTATGGAAGGTTAGGAAGTTTACGGCAAGGAATGCAGGACCTCGAAAAGACATAGAAGTTGTTTGATACCCAGGTTCCGTGTGTATTGGCTGTGGTATTGTAATGGGGTGTGTAGAGCACTGTATCCTGGCGTACTGTATACAGTTGGACTGTGTAGAAGAAAACTTCTCAAAATGTAAACAACTTAACCCAGGAAAATCCCTAACCCACGTCAGATACTTAAGCAGCCAACAAACAAATGTGAACAAAAGCTTAGGCAGACAACCATTACAAGTTTCTTTAGTCTATCATAGTCGAAAAAATGTAGCTCGGAAAGCACATCAACCTGAATATAAGTTTATAAAAAATTCGGGGCAGCCAAAACTTGATAAGTTATAAGATTATAAATTTTTGGCCTGGTCTCATGCCGGGACTGCACAATTTGATAAATTTTCGGAGGTTATAAATTTATAGAGTATAAATTTATAGAGGTTCTACTATATCACGAAATCAATACACATTATTTTAAAATTCCAATGATTTCTTCTTGACATGCATCTCAACCTAAAAGTGATGTATGGTGGATTCTAAATGCTGTCACAAGAGACATCACAAGTGATATACATACGACGGTGATACAAGTCCAAGGTTATAGAGTGATGCTTAGTCAACAACAAACACATGTTGAACTACTAATTGGTGAGAAACTGCTCAAGATTAGTGCAATTTGCAATTCCAACTTTGAAAATGTGGATGAATGTGATAACTAACAAATACCAAAATGGAGCATAATGGTATGCATTTGTTCTCACAGAAACAGTGGCAACACTAAAAGTCACGATTTGTCAAGTATTAACATTATATTGAAGAGTTTTACTTCTTAGGCTAATGTCAATCCCAGAAGACACTGTTTGATTACGGCCTAAGGCCCGAAGAGCAGAGTATATTCACCCTCACAACTTGAAACTTGTCCAATCAACACCTGTGGGAATTGTCTGCGACCCCACTTTCACATTTCAGGGGGAAACTTCCCAAAATTGCATACACCCGACTCACTAACCCGAAACCCAAACCCGAATTTGCTTAAGTCCGAAGAGCCCCCGGCAACTCAGAACATTCAAGCTCGATACTCACAACTTCCGATGCGGTAGCTTCGACAAACACGATCGCACTATGCTCAATGGCAGGATCACACACCAGCACACAGTGGATACAGGTTTACAGTCAAGACAAGCCAATTGACAAAAAAGCCCCCCAAGGAAATGCCTTGGGCCTCTTTATTCACAATGATGGCCTAGGAATCTCAACTGCCTAATGTGAACTACTCTCAGGTGCAGTGCCATCCGACGTAGCGGTAATAGCGTCATTTGAGCTTACGTCTGCTCCTAACCTACGCAAAACTTTTAGTATCTCTAACTCTACATTCTCGCGTGCCTCTACGAATCCATCAGAAAAAGAATCAACTAATTCTACCATCTGCTTGTGCCCTACGGATCCGCCGGTCTTTGCACTCACCAAACGTTGCTCCAGCAAATCTAGCTTTAACCACTTAACCGATTGTAATTCTCACAATGCATATCCACGCACTTCTCAACTCATACTCTCAATTCGTCGGTCGCCTCGTCCCACAGTTGACAATATGCAGCTTTTGCCTTCTCCGTTCTCCTCTGCGACTGTTCCGATCTCAAGCCAGCCCTCCTCAACTGATCCTGTAACCGTCTCCGTTCCGATTCAAACTCCGAAGATCTAGTCGACTCGGAATCCGCCAATTTCTTGAGCCAATCCGTCAATTCTCTTTCGTGCTTCCGGACTTCCTCCGCCAAACTTGCCGTAAGCTCCTCCGCGCGCTTCTAATTCTTTTCACGATCGTTCGCGAGCTCCGCAATCTTACTGCGAAGTTCTTTTTCTTCTGTCTTCGCCGCAACAATCTGTCCTTGAAGATCTTTGACGATCTGTGCTTCTTTGGCTCTTCCTCCTTCCGCCTGAGCTAATTCCTCAGCATGCCACTAATCACGTTTAGCCAAAATCAAAGTCAATTTGTTCACACGTTGCACTTCCGCGGCGTAGGCCACCTTGGTTCTAATTTCTCACTTAGCTCCACTGTTAACTTCTGTACATTCGAATGGGACGTCCAAAGACTGCCACAATCCTGCTCTAACTCCGTGCAACGATTGGTTTCCTTCACCAAGTTCAATTGTAGCACCTCCCACTCCATCTCCTTCGCACGAAGTTGGTCTTCTTGTTCCTGCAATGTTGCCTTCGCGACTGCGCACTCGACTGCCAAGCTTGCAGCTCGCTCCTTCGCCATCGTAGTTGCAGAATCCCGCTCATTTTTCACTGCCACTGCCCTCTTGAGCTTCATTCTATTCCTGATGAGCTCGACATAAGATTCTGATTCCCTCCTCACAGTATACTTTTTCCTCTTTGTGTCTAAATACTTCAATAAAGGTACTACGCTATATTGCAAGAAATCCGGAAAGGCAATCTCCAATGCCTTCGGCCCTTCCGCCGAAGCTTTTGTCGCAACCTCAGATCTCACTTACTTCTCAGGTGGTGGCGGCTTTGGAATCTCCGTGATGTCCCCTACCATTCCGCCAACCTGTGCAACAATCTGCTATTGTATGGCCTAACTCAACGTGAGCTCCTTCACTAACTCTTCACTGGTCTTCGACAGAGGTATGTCTTCACTCCTCACAAACCGCGTCTGCTTTGAAGATAGAAAACTTGGATTAGCTGTCCCTATTCTCTCCTCCGAAGGTTCCACTGCTACGTCTCTTGGAACTTCAACTAATACTGCTGAAGTTCCTCCTTTCACCACTTGAAGTGTTGGCTCGTCAATCTTATCTTCGGTTGTCACTACGGCTGCCGCAATTGTCTTCTTCACACAGATGTCTGAAGATTTGGTCACCACCATCGCGACTTGCCTTCTTCTTTGGCCTAGCTCGAGTCCTTGACTGCCAAATTCCTGTTATCTGAGTTTCCGCCATTCGCGATTCCAGCAACAGCTCCTCTTCGTCATCGATCATTACCTTCCGCCTCTTCGTCAGTCGCTTTTCTGGCCGCTCTCTTGTTGGCAGATCTGTAAGACCGGGTGTTGCACATATGTACTAAGTCTTAGAAGTGGTCAAGGGAATAAGGATGATTAGCCAAGGCATAGCTAAGACTAGCTAGTTATGACTAAACTAGTTAGTTATAACTAAGTTTATCTAGTCATGACTAAGTTTAGCTACAATGTCTATAGTTGGCGGAATAATTAGCGGAGTTCTAGAAGAATGGAGTGAGCACTTCTATTTTGTCTTTTACAAGGAGTGAGCACTTCTATTTTGTCTTATACAAAAGTTCTAGATTCCAAGGGATTAGATATTTGACTAGAAGCTTGGATTTGATTGGTTTGACTAAATGTATGAAAGATGATTGGCTAGACTAAGTCTAATGTTGACTTAGTGGCTAGGAAGCTTGTAGAAGTTTAAAAGCTTCCAATGGCATGTCGCCACCTCAACCTTGGATTCCGGAAGCTTCTAGAAGGTTTAGGTAGGCCAATGGCATGTTGCCACGTAGAGAAGGTTAGTCAAACTTACCTAGGTAAAAGTAAGTTAGGAGAAATTACCACATGTTACTATGGTAACTTCTCAAGTAGTA